GGGCTTAGGTGATTCTCTTGCCTCAGTCTCCTGAGTAGCTGGGACTACAGACACCCGCCACAACGCCCGGCTATTTTTGTTGTTGTTGTTGCAGTTTTGGCTGGTGTGGGGTTTGAACCCACCACCCTTGGTATATGGGGCCAGCACCCTACCCACTGAGCCACAGGCACCGCCCAATACTGTCACTATTATAATACGTTTCTTTCTCACTTACAAGTCTCTATTTCATGACATAAAAGAAAATATTGACTGGGCACAAGGGCTCATGCCTATAGTCCCAGTATTTTGGGAGGCTGAGGCAAGAGGATTGCTTGAACCCAGAAGTTTGAGGTTGCTGTGAGCTATGAGGAATCCACTGCTAAAAAGAAAAAAAAAAGAAAGAAAGAAAAGAAAAAGGGCAGCTCCCGTAGCTCAGTGGCTAGGGCACCGGCCACATACACCGAGGCTGGCAGGTTCGAACCCAGCCTGGGCTTGCTAAACAACAATGACAGCTGCAACCAGAAAAATAGCCAGGGGTTGTGGCGGGTGCCTGTAGTCCCAGCTACTGGGAAGGCTGAGGCAAGAGAATCACTTAAGCCCAAGAGTGGGAGGTTTCTGTGAGCTGTTAAGCCCAAGAGAGGGAGGATGCTGTGAGCTGTGATGCCATAGAACTCTACTGAGGGCAACGTAGTGGGACTGTCTAAAAAACAAAAAAGAAAAAGAAGTTTTCAGAAAGAGTGTAGGGGTTTCCTCTCTATTACACATGGATACTCCTGCACTGACTATTACTATGTTTTAAAATAGTTACTTGTTGGATATTTTTAAAATGGTATCTCCTTGTTTAAATCGGCATTTCTTTTGTTTCCGACTGGTGGATACTTTTATTCTGCTAACTTTCCATTTGCATTTCTTCCACTGTGAATGTTCTATTCTTACCCAAAAGGATTATTTTGAACGCAGTTAGTCAGTTAGTCAGCTGTTGGTCATTACTCCAACAAGCCGGGACATAACCCTAACTGGGTCACCAGAGCTGACCCTAGCACATCATCAGTCCTTCAGAACATTCTGTGAATCATGCTTGGCCTCATGATTAATGATGTATCTGGCAATTTACACAGAAATACACGACGGTATTCACCAGTGGTTTTTGTTGGTCTATGAAAAAAATCTGGGTGAAAACCATTTGCATCTTGTCTGTGGGAAACAGTGTTAGGAGATAATGAAAACTAATCTGGCTCTGCTCTCGGGAATGGGCGTCTTGCAAGGGCCGTTTTCTTCTCCTTTTTATCCTTGTTCTTCAGGTCTGTGACTGGCTCCCATAATTACTTGGAAAGATTAGAAATGAGAGGAGAGTGGCCCACCCCTGTAATCTCAGCACTCTTGAAAGGCTGAGGTGGGAGGATCGCTTAAGCTCAGGAGTTTCAGACCAGCCTGAGCAAGAGCAAGACCCTCATCTCTACCCAAAATAGAAAAATTAGCTGAGTGTTGTGGTGGGCGCCTGCAGTGCCAGCTACTGAAGAGGCTGAGGCAAGAGAATCACTGGGCTATAGGAGTTTGAGGTTGCTATAAGCTAGGCTGATGCCATGGCACTCTAGCCTCGGCAACAGCTAAGACTCTGTCTAAAAAAAAAAAAAAAGTGAAGGAATAAGGAATTGAGATTGAGAAAAATGGGATGGGCTGGGGAATTCTTGGATTTTCACCATCCCTGCATCTGAAACTTCCTCTGACTGACTCAAGAGACTGTCTCTCACCTTCCTTCCTCCAGCATCAGCATCTCCTACCCAATGAAAACTGGTTTCTGTTGCATGTTTGGTTGGACAAGAACTGTCCAGAGGTACCCTGGCCGGGTTAATGAGGAAGCCGGTGGGCCAGAACATCTGAGAAGCCACACAAGAACGTACTAAATGTGCATCTGATCATAAGCTTGGTAGCTCTAAAAATCTCAACTGTAAGGAGTCCTTCTGGCTGTGGGAACACACACGCAGTTTCAGAGTGTACATTCTCCATCGGGAAGATACTGCCCCAACAGCAAAAACTGTTTTTTGGAGGGCAAAAAATCTCAGATATTACAACTCAGATATTATAATGTTTTGTGGCCATGGTTCATGAACTGATACATGGTATGTCTTTGGTGTTAAAATTGTATTGGTGGAAAGGCTCTAAAATGTGGGGGATGACAATGAAAAAGGGTTGAGAGGCCAGGCGAGGTGGCTCATGCCTGTAATCCTAGCACTCTGGGAGGCCGAGGCAGGTGGGTTGCCTGAGCTCATGGGTTTGAGACCAGCCTAAGCAAGAGTGAGACCCCCCTCTCTAAAAATTACCAGGTTTTGTGGCAGGTGCCTGTAGCCCCAGGTACTTGGGAGGCTGAGGCAAGAGGATCACTTGAGCCCAAGAGTTTGAGGTTGCTGTGAGCTATGATGCTGTGGCAGTCTACTAAGGGTGACAAAGTGAGACTCTGTCTCAAAAAAAAAAAAAAAGGGAAAGAAAAAGAGTTGAGGAACGCTGTTCTGGAGAAATTGACTCATGCTCCTAGAGCCTGGACTGAGACCCATTTAGGCTGAGGTTTAATAATGCTGAGGAGACAAAAAGATGTTTTAAAAATGTAAATCAGACCATATTGATCTCTTCCTCCAAGTCCTGTAGTTGCTTCTCCATTGAATTCAAATAAAAGCCTAAATTCTCAGCACAGTCTCTAGGTCTGCCCCTGCCCACACTCTGGCCCCATCTTGAGAGTTCACACCCGGCTGGCTATCAGCAACTCTCTGCTCCCTGGCCTCTCAGGGGCCTTCAGAGATGGTTTCCTCCTTCAAGGATGCACTTCTCTCCTTTTCAGCCTGGCTTACCCTCCTCATCTTTTAAGTCTAGGCTTAAGTCTAGAGGCATTTCTAACCACCTACATGGACTCTCTTAAAGCCACATTAATTAGAGTGTATTTATGTGTGTGTCTTTTCTCTCTCTCTCTCTTTTTTTTTTTTTTTTGAGACAGGAGCCTCAAGCTGTCGCCCTGGGTAGAGTGCTGTGGCATCTCAGCTCACAGCAACCTCCAACTCCTGGGCTCAAGAGAGTCTTCTGCCTCTGCCTCCCAAGTAGCTGGGACCACAGGTGCCCACCACAACGCCCGGCTATTTTTTTGTTGCAGCCATCATTGTTGTTTGGCGGGCCGG